TAAAGCTTAAATCATACATTGATCCTAATACCTTAATAGTGGGAGACTTCAACACCCCACTCTCATCAAGGGACAGATCAACCAGACAGACACCAAATAGGGAAATGAAAGCACTCACAGAATCCCTAAATCAAATGGACCTAATAGATGTCTACAGATCTTTTCACCCAAACTCAAAAGAGTACACCTTCTTTTCAGCACCACATGGAACCTTCTCCAAAATAGACCGTATAGTTGGTCACAAAGCAAGCCTCAACAGATACAAAAGGATTGAAATAATCCCTTGTATACTATCTGACCACCATGGACTAAAGCTGGACATCAACAACAACAGAAACAACAAAAAGCCAACACGCACATGGAAACTGAACAACTTACTACTCAATGACAGCTGGGTCAAGGAAGAAATAAAGAAAGAAATTAAAGACTCTCTAGAATTCAATGAAAATGAAGGCACAACATACCCAAATTTATGGGACACATTGAAAGCAGTGCTCAGAGGAAAATTTATAGCACTAAGTGCCTACAAGAAGAAATCCGTAACATCACATACAAACAACTTAATGGCCCAACTGAAAAACCTAGAAAAAAAGAAGCAGATACACCCAAGAGGAGCAGACGGCTGGAAATAATCAAACTAAGGGCAGAAATCAATCAATTAGAAACAAATAAAATTATCCAAAGAATCAATGAAACAAAAAGCTGGTTCTTTGAGAAAATCAACAAGATAGACAAACCCTTAGCCAAACGAACTAAAAGGCAGAGAGAAACCATACAAATCAGCAAAATCAGAAAGGAAAATGGGGACATAACTACAGACACTGAGGAAATCCAAACGATTATTAGGTCATACTACAAAAGCCTATATGGCACAAAATTTGAAAATCTAAATGAAATGGATAACTTTCTTGACAGATTCCATCTACCAAAATTAAGTCAAGATCAGGTAGAAAGACTGAATAGTCCTATATCTCCCAAGGAAATTGAAGCAGTCATTAACAGTCTCCCCTCCAAAAAAAGCCCTGGACCAGATGGCTTCAGCGCAGAATTCTACAAGACCTTCAAAGAAGTACTAACACCAATTCTCCTCAAACTATTCCATAAAATAGAAACAGAAGGAACACTACCAAACTCATTCTATGAAGCCACAGTCACTTTGATAAATAAACCACACAAAGATCCAACAAAAAAAGAGAACTTCAGACCTATCTCTCTTATGAACATTGATGCAAAAATACTCAATAAAATACTTGCAAACCAAGTCCAAGAACACATCAAAGATATCATCCACCATGACCAAGTAGGCTTCATCCCAGGAATGCAAGGGTGGTTCAACATACGGAAATCCATCAATGTAATCCACCACATAAACAAACTGAAGGAGAAAAACCACATGATCATCTCCTTTGATGCTGAAAAAGCATTTGACAAAGTCCAACACCCATTTATGTTTAAAGTCTTGGAGAGATCAGGGATACAAGGCACATACCTAAAGATAGTAAAGGCAATATACAGCAAGCCTATAGCCAACATCAAACTCAATGGAGAGAAACTTAAATCAATCCCACTGAAATCAGGGACAAGACAAGGCTGCCCACTCTCTCCATATCTCTTTAACATTGTACTTGAAGTCCTAGCTAGAGCAATAAGACAACTAAAGGAGATCAAGGGGATACAAATCAGAAAGGAAGAGGTCAAAGTGTCACTATTTGCAGATGATATGATAGTATACATGAGCGACCCCAAAGATTCAACCAGAGAACTTCTTCAGCTGATAAACACCTTCAGCAAAGTGGCAGGATACAAAATCAACTCAAAAAAATCAGAAGCCCTCTTGTATACCAAAGACAAAAAGGCTGAGAAAGAAATTAGGGAAACAACACCCTTCACAATAGCCACTAATAACATAAAGTACCTTGGTGTGACTCTAACCAAGCAAGTGAAAGACCTGTTTGAGAAAAACTTCAAGTCTTTGAAGAAAGAAATTGAAGAAGATCTCAGAAGATGGAAAGATCTCCCGTGCTCATGGATTGGCAGGATTAACATTGTGAAAATGGCCATCCTGCCAAAAGCAATCTACAGATTCAATGCAATTCCCATCAAAATACCAACTCAATTCTTTACAGACCTTGAAAAAAAGATTCTCAGCTTCATATGGAGAAACAAAAAACCCAGAATCTCCAAAACGATCCTGTACAACAACAGATCATCTGGAGGTATCTCCATTCCCGATCTCAAGCTGTACTACAGGGTAACAGTAATAAAAACTGCATGGTATTGGCATAGAAACAGAAAGGAGGATCAATGGAATCGCATAGAAGACCCAGAAATAAACCCACACACCTATGAATACTCAATATTTGACAAAGAAGCCAAATCCATTCAATGGAAAAAAGACAGCATCTTCAACAAATGGTGCTGGACCAACTGGATGTCTACATGCAGAAAAATGAAAATAGATCCATATTTATCACCCTGCACAAAACTAAAGTCCAAGTGGATCAAGGACCTCAACATAAAACCAGATACTCTAAATCAGCTGGAAAAAAAAGTGGGAAACAGCCTAGAACTCATTGGCACAGGAGACAACTTCCTGAACAGAACACCAACAGCACAGGCTCTAAGAGCAACAATCAATAAATGGGACCTCATGAAACTGAAAAGCTCTGTAAAGCAAAAGACACTGTCATCAAAACAAATAGACAGCCTACAGATTGGGAAAGAATCTTCACCAACCCTTTATCTGACAGAGGGCTAATATCAAGTATATATAAAGAACTAAAGAAGCAGAAAAGCAACAAACCAAGTAATCCACTTAAAAAATGGGGAACAGAGCTAAACAGAGAATTCTCAAAAGAGGAACATCGAATGGCAGAGAAACACTTAAAGAAATGCTCAACCTCATTAGCCATTAGGGAAATGCAAATCAAAATGACCCTGAGATTTCACCTTACACCCATCAGAATGGCCAAGATGAAAAACTCAAGTGATAGCACATGCTGGAGAGGTTGTGGAGAAAAGGGAACCCTCCTCCATTGCTGGTGGGAATGTAAACTGGTTCAACCACTCTGGAAGTCAATCTGGCGCTTTCTCAGACAACTAGGAGTAGTGCTACCTCAAGACCCAGCTATACCACTGCTAGGTATATACCCAAAATTTGCTCAAGTACACAACAAGGACATTTGTTCAACCATGTTCGTAGCAGCTTTATTTGTAATAGCCAGAACTTGGAAACAACCCAGATGTCCATCAACGGAGGAATGGATACAGAAATTGTGGTATTTTTACACAGTGGAATACTACTCAGCAATCAAAAAGGAGGAAATCATGAAATTTGCAGGCAAGTGGTGGGATCTAGAAAAGATCATTCTGAGTGAAGTATCCCAGAAGGAGAAAGACAAACTTGGTATATACTCGCTTATATAGACCTACAAGATATGATAAACATAATGAAATCTACACACCTAAAGAAGATAATCAAGAAAGTGGACACAGGCGAAGGTGATTAATCCTCATTTAGAAAGACAAATGGGATGTGCATTGAACTTATGACAGGAGTCTACCACAAAAGGCATCTGAAAGACTCTACCTAGCAGTGTTTCAAAGCAGACACTAAGACTCATAACCAAACCCTCGGCAGAGTGCAGGGAATCATATGAAAGAAGGGAAGTTAGTATGATATGGAAAGGATAGGAGCTCTACAAGGACCAAATATATCTGGGCACAGGGTCTTTTCTGAGACTGACACTCAACCAAGGACCATCTATGGATATAACCTAGAACTTCTGCTCGGATGTGGCCTGTGGTAGCTCAGTAACCAAGTAGTTTTCCAAAGTAAGGGGTACATGGACTATTTCTAACAGGATCTCAAGGGCAGGCTGTTTGACCCCCCCCCCCCAGGGGAGGAGCAGTCTGTTAGGCCACAGAGGAGGACTTTGCAGCCAGCCCTGAAGATACCTGATAAAACAGGGTCAGATGAAAGGGGAGGAGGTCCTCCCCTATCAGGGGACTTGGAAAGGGGCAGGGAGGAGACCAGGGAGGGAGTGTGGGGTTGGGGAGGGAATGAGGGAGCGGGATACAGCTGGGACACAGAGTTAACAAAATGTAACTAAAAAGAAAAAAAAAAGAATTAAGAATAAAATGAAATAATTGCCTTAAAAAAAAAGAGAGTGTAGGAGATATGTCAGCTCAGTGGTGTCCACTGTTTGGTCGCTGAGCAGGGAGACCTGTATTTGCGGTAGCTGCCTCTGCAGTCTCAGTCACAGAGCAAGGAGGCTCCTTCTTGGACTAGCTGATGCCCTGCTGTAGCAGCAGTTCTCGGAGGCCCACCTGCGCTGTTTCAGTCACCAAGAGTGAAAGCTCATTCTTGGGCAACCACTGCCACCTCAGCAGAGCAGGGAGGCCCGTTTTGGGGGCAATGACCACTGCTGACCACCTCTGCACAACTGGGAGACCTGTGCTTCTTTGGGCAAGGGGAAATGCATGGGCATTGAATATTTGCACCCTCAGTCCCCAGAGAAGTCCACGGGTGACCTGGATCCAAACTGTCCCAACTCATGGGTTGTCCCCTCTTGTCCAGGAAGCCTCAATATGGATGTTCTGGCTTCAGCTGCCCCTCTGCTCACCAATTTCAGCATTTCAGATCCTGTGACTCTCAGATACAGTGTGTGCTGGTTGCCACCATCTTGGACAGCCACAATTTATGACTTCTGATTTAATTATTGTTACATATATATGCATGGATATCCTGGTGAGATCATATAGTTCATATGTATTTGGGTTGAGAGATGACCACTTGTGAGTGGATAATTTATCAGGTTTCTTGTCCCTGAAGAAGACAAAGTATTCCTCTCTCAGAGGCTATAGCTCTTCATCTAGAAGTGGCACCTTGTGAGATTCTCTACATCTACACTGCCATATCAACTGGCATTGTAATTGTGCAAGTTGAGTTTAGGCAACACTATGGTTGAGATTTCATGGATACAGCTTCCCTGTCATATACAGAAGACACTGTCTTCACAAATTTGCAGGTCATGTTTGCATAGTAGCCGTGCTAATCTTTTCTGTATTGTTCCAATTTTAGTATATGTGCTGCCAAAATGAGCACCAGAAGACACTATCTTATATCAAGCATCTAGGTCTTTTGGCTCTTAGTGTTTCTGTCCTCTTTTCTGCAATGTTCTCTAATCCTTAGGTGTAGGTGCTGTGTTGTAGATTCATTATCTGTGGTTGAGTACACCACAGTCAGGTTTCTCTGCATTTTGATATGTTAGAATTTCTACAATGGTCTCCATCTCCTGTAAAAAGAAGCTTTCTTGATTGGAGAGTAGAGCTACACTACTCTGTGTATATAAGGATATGTATTCACTATGTAGGATTCCACTTCACTCAATTGATTTCTTTGCTCTCCAGAGCTTTTGGTTTTTACAGGGTCCTATTTACAAATTGTTGGCTTTAATTATTCCTATTCGGAAAGCCCTTTCAAACATCACTATCTTGTGGAGTACTGCCTGTATTTTCTTCTAACAGTTTCAGATTTAAAACTGAGGTCTTTAAGATAGGTATTAAAGTTCGTCCTTCTACATGTGGACATCCAGTTGTCCATGCACCATTTGAAGATGCCATCTTTTCTCCAGTGTGTGTTTTTTTGCCTCTTTGTCAAATACAAGAAGAGTGTTTAGCTTTTTCTACTTTGTTCTCTTGGTTTGTATGTCTGTTTTTGTTAGCAGTACCTTCCTGGTTTGATTGATATAGCTTGAAATTTTGTATGATAATTCCTCCACCACTGCTCAGGATTGCTTTGGATATCTATGGTATGTTATGGTTCTATTTGAATTTCAAGATTTCTGTTCTGCATTTGTTAAGTATATTGTGGGAATTTTTGGTTTTGATTTCACTGAATACACAAATTGCTTTGGTAGAATTGTCATCTTCATAATATTAATTCTAGAGCATGGGGAGTCTTTTGACCTTCTAGAGTCTTCCTCAATCTCGTTCTTTGGAGATTAAAGTGTCCACTACTTAGGTTTATTGCCAGATTTCTTGAGGCAACTGTAAATGGGAGTGTTTCCATGATATCATTCTTAGTGTGTTTGTTATTAGTATTTAGAAAGCCTACTAGTCATTTTTGTAAATTGATTTTGTATCCTATAAGATTGCTGAAAGTATTGAACATTTCTAGAAGTTTTCTGATAGAATTTTTGGGTTCTCTTATGTATAATATCATTCCATCTGCAAACAGGGATAATTTAACTTCTTTTCCTATTTTTATCACTACAGTTGCCACCTCTTTTAAAGTCTTATTTACATTTTAAAATATTTGTTTCTGTGTATGAGTATTTTACTGCATATATGTATGGGCATTGTATGCTTGCCTGGTGGCTGTAAAATTCAGAACAGAGTGTTGGATCCCCTGTAACTGAAGATAAAAATGATTATGAGCCACTATGTGAGTTCCATGGTCTGAACCCAGGTCCTTTGTAAGAGCAAAAAAGGCTTGTAACTACTGATCCATCTCTCCAGCATCTTAATTTCCTTTTCTCTTCTTATTGTTGAACCAAGCTTTGAACAATATATTAAAAATAGCGTGTAGGGTGGATAGCTCTGTATTGTTCTTGATTTTAATGGAATTTCTTTAAATCTTCTCAATTTAAGATAATGTTGGCTGTAGGTTTGTTATTTATAGCTATTATTTTGTTGCTCCAGTCCTACTCTATCTATGACTTTTATTATGAAGGCAATTTTATGAAAGCCTTTTTGCATATATTGAGATAGTTGTATAATTTTTGTCTTTATGTTCACTTATATGACTCATTACACTTATTTACTCATACATGTAGAGCCATCCCTGCTCTCAGAATAAAGCCATGACAGCTGATCTTCTTGATAGATGCCTGAATCCAGCTTGTAAATATTTTATTTATTGAAAATTTTGTATTTGTGTTCATCAGGGATCTCTCCTGTCTCTCTGTTTGAGTGCTCTTCAATATTCTCTTTTTACTGAACTCAGTATTCAAATCCTGAATTGTCGTAATCATTTCATTCAGCCATTTGTTTGTGTTTTCTTGGACAGCACTTGGGCATTTATTCCTGTCCTCCTTAATTTTGTTGAACTCTTTGCTCCTGCCTTTAAACTCACAGCTCATGAGACAAGCTCATTATATCTAGTGCAAGGATATCCAGAGCTAGGTCAGGGGGTGTGGAGAGGGCAGGCCAGTGAGCTTCCAGAGAAATTCATTAGCTGAATTCATCCACAATTCATTCATCCACAAGCTGCATGTGCAGAACTAGGCTCAGAAGCATGAGCATCACTCTGGCAGGTAAGTTTCTGGGGAACTCACCAGTCAAAGCCAGTATGTGTCCTGTGTGTTCACAGTCAGGCCAAGGAATGTTGCATATTGTACTTACTTTCTTGGATGTATTTCTTCTAAACTCAAACCACTACCATTTCTATAACTTTAATAATCTTTCTTGGTTTAATTTTCTCAAGAATAAATATTTAATTCCATTTTGGAGTCAAAACAAATTTCTGTAGTTTAAAGGTTCAAGTAGCTAGAGCTTATAAGGCATGTTATTATGATGTTTCAAACACATGAGTCATAGAATATATATTGAGATGCCATCCATTGCCATCCTTCAACTATGTGCATAGTTGATTAAGAATTCAGAAGTACCCAAAATTAATTTCTGTGCCAAGGCCATACAGTTCATTCATCTGATCAGCTCATTTAATCTTATTGATTACAGTACTTATCTTTGCTCTTCTTGTTATAGCGAGAAAGAATGAGTTTAGTTGCCCAAAAAATATGTGGAGAAGAAAACATCTTGGTACAATTCGAAGTCCTTGTTTCAGTAAGGCTTACATTGTAAAATGCTTCCGAAGCTCCTTATGGTTTATTTAATAAAATTTGTATTAATTGAAGAAGCTTCTTTTTAATTCCATCATGAGGTGGGGAATGTCTCAAAAGTTCCTAACCCTAAGGAGCTATGGGCAGTAGATGGCTTCTTGGTAAGGAGACTCTGTTTTCTTTAAGGGTGTGACCACTGTTACATTAACCATGCTCTAGTGGATGACTCCACATCCATCAGTATATGGGCAGCAAAAATTTGACTTGGGGCAGTTATAGAAAAAAAGAGAGGACGAAGTTGGGAATGAGTAGGGGAAGTGGGTGGAGAAGCAGATATACAGTGTGGGTGAATCTGGGAGGAGTTACGGGAAGGAGTTGGGGAGAATATGACCAAATACCGTGTGTGCATGCATGAAATACTCAAAGAACAGATAAAATTTTATATATAGAAAAGAAATTGCTTTTTGAGAGTATGTCTACTGAGTAGCTCTTGGACAATGGAAGTTATAGGGGTTATCCCATAAACCTAGGAAGGCAAATGAGACCTCTGCTTTCCATTAAGAAGTTTTCCAGCTCTCGGGGCATTTGTCAATGTACTCAGATGAATCAGAAATAAATAAATCAGTAGGCAGTGGCATACTACTTACACTTTCATTAAAAAGCCCTAGGGGTAGAATTGCTCAGGATTGAGATAAACTCTCCTAAGTATCTCTGGCATCTATCTACCTTGGCATATGACTGACATTAAAACTAAGCACCACATTTTAACTATTGCAAAAGTAGTAGTTGCATTTGAATGGCTGATAGGCAACAGTTGGCATCACAGCTTGAATTGGTGGCATTGGTGCTGCTAGTGCCAGCTCACTACTAAATCATTAGGACTGCCACCTCGGAGCCCTTACTTTATTCCTAAGCTTCCTTTATTCCTATTACACTCAGGCAGATTGGTCCAGGACCCAGATATAAGACTTGCCATTTATTCCTGTTACATTCCCTATAACAATTCCAAGCCCATCAAGTTCGCTTTTGATGTCACTTTCATGCTACAAGGAGTTGCTTGCCTTCTGGCTCTAGGTCAGGGACAAGTCTAGTAAGACTGCTTTCTAAATATTCATTTGGATCATTGAGAAAAAGAGAAACAGGTCACAAGAGATCCCTAGGACTTGCCTCTAGACTTCTTTCTCTGAGGGAGGATATTAATCCATTATCCATGACCTCTGGACTGAATCCTTTAATTGGTTACACAATCGCATAACTGATCTGTAAATGAGAATTTCACAACAGACGCTTCCAAGTGCTTTGCTGGGATCCAAAAACTCTTACCTGTTTTTCTATGATCTACCTTCCTACCTGTGTGCTTTATCTGAAGGAAGGATGTTATTCTACCACAGCCATAGTCTCTGACCCCTAGCATTTTCAAATCCACTGTTGACTAGATACCCTTTCTAAGACCTCACTCACCATTCCTTTAAGTATACATTTTAGGGTCTAGAATTTTTCCTGTAACCCACATCAAGCAAACTATAGCTACATAAGATATCCTGTTCAAGGAATCCCCCACCTAGAAATTTACAAGTACTTGCCCATCTGGTGATCTAGATGAATCTTTTTTATAGTTCTATATGATCCTTGATGCTCTGTGCTAAACATCCAGGATCTTGTTAGGAAATATTCTCTTTCTCTTAATGTGCTGGCCTGTCATTCATTGTGACTCTCTGTCAGTAGCCAGGTAACCTTCTCACAATGGTATTATCCATCCCAGCCTTCTGACTTGTAAGTAGGAGATCATTCCAAGGCACTAACTGTACAATGCTCTCACCACAGAAGGGAGGAATTCAGGAAATATTGTGTAAAGCAAGGCAATTGAGCCAACTGAATCATCAGTGATCAAAACAGCATACTGGATTATTTCTCACAATCTTTGAGTAGTTAAAAGAGCTGATGGGATACTCAGCAGTAATTAGAAATGTAGGAACAGGTATGTTAACAATTCTTGCCCTTCAAAGTCACCTTTTTAATAACTTGTGTGACTGAAGGAGTACTGTGATTGGAATAAAACTTACAGTATTCTCCTTAACATAATAAACAGACACATGGGGTATTTGAGATTAAGTATAAGGTGAAGGCAAGAGAATAAAAAGATAGCTGTGAAATCAAATGATGGCACAAAGTTGCCATCTAAGTTCATCAGGTCACGTGGAGTTCTCTGAGTTGAGCTTGATATGCCAGCACAGTATTCAGTTAGCAACACAGTATTCAG